TCCTATATTTTGTAACTACATATTTTGCACTCATTTTTCTTAAGAAAATCATGTTTTACAGCAATGGCAATCTGGTTTTTCTTCGATTATGATTACAGTAAATAATTTCAGTGTACCTGTAATGTGCTATATGATTTTAGAAAATAAGAACCTATTTTAATTTTCTTAGGCTAAATAGGTTCTTGTTTATAGGGGGTATAAATGGCAAATTTTAGGCTAACAGGTTCTTAATTTTTTGGTTCTTACTTGCGGGTTTTTACTGAATACCATTGCTTGATTCTCTTGTCACAGAATGTGCCATGGAGTATACCGGCCCTGTTAGTGAATTGAAGGAGATGTGTGAAATTAGAATAGAAGTTGCAGGTATGTATCAGTGATAAAATGTTATTTTAAAGTTGTTACTGGAACTAATGTTAGACCTCGTGTACTCAGAACTTAGTCTTAGCTTTGTGTTGTTCTTAGAATTATCTTTACAAATGGCCTGGGTCCAGTCAAAGGGCAGATAGCGCTAGCTATAGAACTGATAAATCCCTATACAGGAAATATACTGCACTGTCCATCTAATAGCGTATCTATCCTGTGGAGAGCATTATCTGCCCTTTAAGCAATGGAGGCCTGATTTATTAAATATGAGATGTTTGTATCTTTTTTTAATGGGATATTTTCAACTCATCCATCCAATTAAAAAATTAACCTTTTTTGGTAACATATATGCATGTAACAAAATGCATTTTAAACTGACTTTATTTGGAAAAATGGTATCAGACAGAGTAAAATGCAAAATTACAAATGCAAACCAAAATATGTATTTAAAAAAGTTAAAAATAATACTAGACACTTGCTATTTGTTTCCCTGATATGTTTACTTACTAGTTGTACCCAGACGCCGCTGTTCAGCAAATACTTCTTGTTGATTTGTTGTTTTGTGAATCTCATATTACTGTAACTTTTTCCATTTATTTATGGAAAAGTGTCATTCTATGCAAACAAAAGTATTATTAATAAAAGCATGTTACTACTGAAAAATTAATTTGTGATTAATTGATTTTCAGGAATTTTACGAAATTGTAGGGTAAGGATCCTGTGTAATATGAATGGTGAAATGTTTAAACGATTATTGTGGTTGCAACAGCTGTGTGTCAAGTTGGGTTGTCTTGTCCTTGTACAATACATTCTAATAACGCTTATGTCAATATCATCTGTGGAGGCACGGTGGCCTCATGGTTGGTGCGCTCGACTCTAGATCGAGTGGTACTCTCAAAGGGCCTCTCTTCACCCAGGTGTTTAAATGGGGACCGGGCAATTTAATGCTGGGGGTAACCCTGCAATGGACTGGCATCCCATCCAGGGGGGAGTAGAAATATTCATAGTCGCTTCATGCTACGGGAACTAGAGTTAAGCACCCGCCTAATGGGCCACTAGGCTCGTAAACAGACTTTACCTTTACCAATATCATCTAAATTCATGATTGGTATTTGCATCCATTGATTGGAAAAGTAAAGTTAACCTCTCTAGGGAAAGTGACTTTAGTTGCCTTTCTTTTTTGCATAGTTGACTGATATTGAAACTGTGAGTAAATTTCTTGTTAACCAAACAAGGACACTATTTTAAAGTTTGTGATTTTTTCCCTTATACCTACTTTTTTAGTTAGGGAATGTAAGAAACAAATATGATGCAGATGAACAGGCTGCAAAACAACATTATGAGGTAAGTTACATGAACCTTCTCATTCTCAGGAGCAACTGAAAGAAAATTCTATCAGCAGTATTGCTACATCTACCTAAAGGTGGCAAGGGTGCCTCTACTTTACAACATACAATACCTTGTCAAATTATCATTTCTTTTCAAGTGAATATCCTCAAAATATTTAATATCTTTCCACAGAGTGAAAAGCTGGCCTTGATGGAAAGCATGAAGCAAGAGTTAGAAGAAAAGATAAGAAAATTAGAAGAGGATAAACAAAATATGGATATTTCGGCAGGTAGTATTGTTGCCTTATACTCAGTATTTTGACTGCCTATTTTAATTTTTTTCTCCTTCAGTATTGTGTTATTCTTTTTTCTCACTCTTAAAAGTTCTAAGTTGAGTTAGCCACAATAACTGTTGTGAGTATTTTTTAAGTAAGTTTTAGTGATTTTGTTTCAGATATCTGGCTTGAATCACAGTCGCTCAAAAAGAGGCACAGGAAGTCGTCTGATGGATCCATGCTCTCTGACAAAAGACGGAAGCCTGTCACTGTTACAGATATCCTTTAGAACCTTTCAGTAAAACATCTCTAAAATATTTATCCCTACAGATAATGTAAGGTTAACACCATCTCCTACTGAATTGACTTCACCCTTAAACTCCCAAGATCTGATGGTTAATTCTCCCCTCTATCTGCAACCTATCCCCCTGGAAGAGTTTCTGGAAATTGTCAACAACAGAAATAATTAAGAAGAGAAAGAAAGTATTTTGAAGGAGAAAAAGAGTGAGAAACCCATAAAAATCTGTGAGCAGAGCCAGCTTAAATGCTGGTACCTTCCAGAAAGGGGATCTTGGTCATTTACTAAGTTATATTACAATCATATGAAAATTATTGCAGATTATAGTGAAGAGTATTGTTATCTTTTCTTAACCTTGGTTAAGTCCCTACATTGTATATATGTTAAGAGAAATGGATATTCTTGAAGACTGGGCTGCTATCAGGAAGGTAAATATTACAACTGCCAATCAGTTTTCTGATAACCAAAAAAATGTGTCATACCTGAATTTTTATCTGTTTTCTTGAAGGCAAAAGGAGCATTAGCAAGGAGAAGACAAGAAAGTAAGACATTTTATTTCTAAAGGAATATTAGATGTGTAGACCATATGTATATACAAGTTGTATATTTGTGTGAAATAGCCAAGTAAATATCTGTATAGTTAAGAATATTTCTTTATACTTGGCTGTGGTTAAGTTGTTATAACAGATACCAACAAAATATGGTTGAAGAGGCTAGTTGGTCACACTTAAAACATAATCAAGGCTTTTGTGCTGAGCAATATTTGAAGATTCAATACCACCTTCCACCCCTCCCCCTCCCAAGGCAATCCATAAGCAAATAATGGTCATCCCTGCCCAGGGGGGTGGGGAATTTGAACCTTTTCTGGGTGAGATGGGGCATTTAAACTGGAAGTGTGAAGGCTTTCCAAGGTTATACGTGCTTTAATGGAGGAGTTTGATGGTTGAGAGTTTTCTGTCATGAGCAAATGGTGTAGAAATTGCTTTTTGTTGTGAATGAGGGAGGAAACCTTAACGTCTTAGCAAGGTTAGGATTTTGGAAATTTGAATCAATAACCTCTTTTATTTCATGTGTAGGTGGTTGCCAATCAGAGAAGAGTCCATTTAGTGCAAGATATGAAGATGGAAAGCTTTACTATGAAGGAGAATGGTAACTAATGTGGGTTTGTTGTTAATTTGTGACAGCTCTGTACATGTACACAGAGATTACAACTAAATTACACACTTTGAGTGGTATTTCTGAATAAATTGTGCAAAAGCTCTTCGACTAATAATTATAATCTCATCTTTATATTCTTTGGGTAAGGTTCCACAAAGGTGATCATGTACTGATAGAAAGCAGAAATGATACACAGTCCAGGTATGTATGCTGCTCTTGTTCAGGATCAAGGCTGTGTTCTAAGAAAAATGGAAGGGAGCCCAGTGATCTGAAACTGTGAAATCCAGGGTGCCCAGCATATGCTTTTTATGAAAAAACTAAGATTCCTGAGTCACCTAAGAGCAAAAGTAAGGTCCTAGGGGCCACCAGGCACCACTAGAACACAATCCTGGATGCTCAGGGTTGTAGCTAAGAAATTACACTGCAGGCTGAAATTTCAAGAGGTGGCTCAAAGGTGGTGAACGATTGAAAGTGTGTAACCTTGGAAGTACCCATTGTGCTTTAATAACAAGCAATCACTGGCTAAAAGTCCAGCTGCCAATCCCTGCTTTTTCATGTGGCAAATTTTGCAGGCAGCCAGTGCTTAGTGACAACCCTAATTGCTACCTGTTATCATGGCTTTACCTTTTGATTTGATCTTTTTTATCAGAGTTTTAGTGTAACTATCTCAAGTCATACCCTTTTTTCAGAAGTTCATAAAATTGTGGTTGTTCTTGAAAGTTCTCAGTCTGGTTCAGTTTCTCATTTGAGTTTACATATTAACAAGGCACTTGTTTTATTAAACATATATTTTGTGGTAGTAGTCAGAAATAATAGTTAAGTCAAAGACATACCTTGATTTGTTCAAGGCACTGATTTGCTTTACAAATAATTTTGTATTAGTTGTCAGAAGTGATTGTTAGGTCAAAGACCTAACAATGACTTGTACAGATTTACCATGTTTCAGCCATATTACTAGGCAAACATTATACTCCATTCTCGTGGCTTATTTCAGTAATTTTTTCCTGATGATGAAACATTTTCTGTTTGCTACTTTAGTGCCATTGTTACAGGGATTAACACTGGAGAGGTAACTATAGTAAATTAATTTTTCCTTGTTTCTACTTCTTTTTTTAGGTGTTTCTTGCCAGTGTTCTTCACATACAAAATAATTGTTTTCATGTTAACCCTTAAATCATAACTCCCAAGAGAGATCAGCTTCAAATTTCTCGTTAGACAGTATCAGAATCTTACAATAAGTTAACGTTATGGGAATCAAGGAACTGATCAGTAAAGAAAAATGGTCCTGATTGCTCACTAATTCTCTTGGTGGCTATTGTATGGAAATGCCAGCAGATCATTGACAATAACTTATATACATATGATGCACGATCCTTGCAGTAGAGAACGCTATTTATGCAATAGCGAAAATCAGACCTGAAAAAAATCAGGCCTTTACGGGATTCGAAC